TGTCTATTTCCTTGCTAATATTTGACCACTGCATTGCCGTACTCCGCTGGTCCTGTGAGTCCCTTTTCCGATCCGATTCCAAAAATTCAACGCGAGTAGTCGGCGGGGGCCTGGGACGAAAATGACAGCCATTGCCTTCCCGCGAAGCGCTCAATGGCTGTGAAAACACATTCGTAGAAACACAAGAAGGTAAAAAAATATCGCTCCGAGTTGAAACCGCAGGTAACTGAATCGAAAAATCGGGCAATCCACGATCCATTCCAGACCCAGCGTAATCCAAACTTATACCACGACCACTGTCGAAGCCAACGTTCAATCTATTCGAAGCATCCATCGATCACACTTGAATCTTGAATTCAGGATTTTGGAAACCTAAGACCTTGAAATTGTCCGAAATCTTGTATTCAGGATTTTAGAAAGCTAAGATCTTGAAATCGGTCGAAATCTTGAATTCAGGATTTTGAAGAGCTAAAATCTTGAAATTGGCTAGAATCGTGAACTTAGGATTGTAAAAAGCTGAAATCTTGAAATAGGTCAAGATCTTAAATTAAGGATTTTAAAAAACTAAAATATTAAGATCGGTGAAAATCTTGAATTCAAGATTATAGAAAACTAAAATCTTGAAATCGGCCAAAATCTTGAATTTAGGACTTTGGATAGCTAAAATCTAGAAATCAGCCAGAATCTTGAATTCAGGATTTTGAAAAGCTAACATCTTGAAATCGGCCAAAATCTTGAATTCAGGATTTTGGAAAGCTAAAATCTTGAAACCGGCCAAAATCTTGAATTCAGCAGTTTGGAAACCTAAAATCTTGAAATCGGCCAAGACCTTGAAATCAGGATTTTGGAATGCTAAAATCTTAAAATCGGCCAGAATGTTGAATTCAGGATTTTAGAAAGCTAAAATCCTAAAATCAGCCAGAATCGTAAATTCAGGATTTTGGAAACCTAAAATCTTAAAATCGGCCAAATTCTTCAATTCAGTATTTTGGAAAAGAAAAGTCTTCAAATCGGAAAAAATTTAAATTCAGGATTCTGGAAAGCTAAACTCTTATAATCCGCAAAAATCTTGAATTCAGGATTTGTTAAAGCCAAAATCTTGAAATCCGGCAAAATCTTGAATTTAGGATTTTGGAAACCTAAAACCTTGAAATCCTTCGAAAACTTGTATTGAGGATTTTGGAAAGCTAAGATCTTGAAATCGGTCGAAATCTTGAATTCAGGATTTTGGAGAGCTAAAATCTTGAAATCGGCAAGAATAGTGAACTTACGATTGTGGAAAGCTAAAATCTTAAAATAGGTCAAGATGTCAAATTGACCGTGTTTAAAAACTAAAATCTTGAAATCGGCGAAATTCTTGAATTCAGGATTTTTGAAAGCTAAAATCTTGAAATCGGCCAAAATATTGAATTAAGGACTTTGGAAAACTAAAATCTTCAAAGCGGCGAAACTCTTGAATTCAGAATTTAGAAAAGCTAAAATCTTATAATCTGCAAAAATCTTGAATTAAGGTTTTTGGAAAGCTAAAATCTTGAAATCGGTCAAGATCTTAAATTGAGGATTTTAAAACACTAAAAGCCTTAAATCGGCCAAAAATCTTGAATTCAGCATTTTGGAAACCTTAAATCTTGAAATCGGCCAGAAACTTGAAATGTGGATTTTGGAAAGCTGAAATCTTGAAATAAGCCAAAATCTTGAAATCGGACAAAATCGTGAATTCAGGATTATGAAAAGCTAAAATCTTCAAATCGGTTAAAATCTTGAAATCAGGATTTTGGAAAGCTAAAATCTTGAATTCGGCAAAATTTGAGTTCAGGATTTTGCAAAGCTAAAATCTTATAATCGGCAAAAATCTTGAATTCCGGATTTTTGAAAGTTAAAATCATGAAATCGGCCAAAATCTTTAGTTCAGGATTTTGGAAAACTAAAATCTTGAAATCGGCCAAAATCTTGAATACAGGATTTTGAAAAACTAAGATCTTGAAATCGGCCAAAATCTTCAATTCAGGATTCTGGAAAGCTAAAATCTTGAAATCGGCCAAAATCTTGAATTGAGGATTTTGGAAATATAAAATCTTGAAATCGGGCAAAATCTTGAATTCAGGATTTTGGAAAGCCAAAATCTTGAAATCGGCCAAAATCTTCAATTTAGGATTCTGGAAAGCACAAATCTTGAAATTGGCCAAAATCTTGAATTGAGGATTTTGGAAATATAAAATCTTGAAATCGGGCAAAACCTTGAATTCAGGATTTTGGAAAACTAAAATCTTGAGATTTGCAAATCTTGAATTCAGGATTTTGGAAAGCTAAAATCTAGAAATCGGTCAAAGTCTTGAATTCAGCATTTTGGAAAGCTAAAATATTGAAATAGGCCAAAATCTCGAATTAAGGATTTTGAAAAGCTAAGATCTTGAAATCGTCCAAAGTCTTGAATTCAGGATTTTGGAAAGCTTAAATCTTGATATCGGTCCAAATCTTGAAATCGACCAAAACCTTGAATTCACGATTTTGGAAGACTAAAATCTTGAATTCAGGTTTTTGGAAAACTAAAATACAGAAATCGGCCAAAGTCTTGAATTCAGGATTTTTGAAAGCTAAAATATTGAAATCGGCCAAAATCTTAAATTCAGGATTTTGGAAACCTAAAATATTAAAATCGGCCAAAATCTTGAATTAAGAATTTGAAAGCTAAAATCTTGAAAACGTCCGAAATCTTGAATTTAGAATTTTAGACAGCTAAAATCTTGAAATCGGCCAGAATCGTGATCTTAGGATTTTAGAAAGCTAAAATTTTGAAAAGGGTCAAGATCTTTAATTGAGGATTTTAAAAACCTAAAATCTTGAAATCGGCCAATATCTTGAATCAGGATTTTGGAAAGCTAAAATCTTGAAATCGGTCAAACCCTTGAATTCAGGATTTTGGAAAGCTAAAATTTAGAAATCTGCCAGAATCTTGAATTCGGGATTTTGGAAAGCTAAAATCTTCAAATCGGCCAAAATCTTGAATTCAGGATTTTGAAACGCTCAAATCTTGAAATCGGCAAAATCTTGAATTCAGGATTGTGCAAAGATACAATCTAATAAGCGGAATAAAATCTTAAATTCAGGATTTTGGAAAGCTAAAATATTGAAAGCGGCCAAAATTTTGAATTCAGGATTTTGGAAAGCTAAAATCTTGAAATCGGCCAAAATCTTGAATGCAGGATTTTCGAAAGCTTAATATTAAAGTCGTCCCGAATCTTGAATTCAGAATTTTCGAAAGCTTAAATCTTGATATCGGTCCAAATCTTGAAATCGGGCAAAACCTTGAATTCACGATTTTGGAAAACTAAAATCGTGAAATCGGCCAAAATCTTGAATTTAGCATTTTCGAAAGCAAACATCTTCAAGTCAGCCTAAATCTTAAATTGCGGATTTTGGAAAGCTAAAATCTTGAAATCGGCCAAAATCTTCAATTCAGGATTTTGGAAAGCTAAATTCTTGAAATCGGCCAAAATCTTCAATTCAGGATTCTGGAAAGCTAAAATCTTCAAATCGGTCAAAATCTTGAATTGAGGATTTTGGAAATATAAAATCTTGAAATCGGGCAAAATCTTGAATTCAGGATTTTGGAAAGCTACAATCTTGAAATCGGCCAAAGTCTTGAATTCAGGATTTTGGAAAGGTAACATATTCAAATGGGCCAAAATCTCAAATTCAGGATTTTGGAAAGCTAAGATCTTGAAATCGTCCAAAATCTTGAATTCAGGATTTTGGAATTCTTAAATATTGATATCGGTCAAAATCTCGAAATCGGCCAAAACCGTGAATTCACGATTTTGGAAAAGTAAAATCTTGAATTCAGGATTTTGGAAAACTACAATCTTGAAAACGTCCGAAATCTTGAATTCAGGATTTTGGAAAGCTAAAATTTTTTAATCGGCCAACATCTTGAATTAAGGATTTTGGAAAGCTAAAATTTTTTCATCGGCCAAAATCTTGAATTCAGGATTTTGGAAAGCTAAAATCTTGAAATCGGCCAATATCTTGAATTCAGGATTTTCGAAAGCTAAAATCTTGAAATCGGTTAAAATCTTGAATTGAGGAATTTTAAAAAACTGAAATCTTAAAATCGGTCAAAAGCATGAATTCAGGATTTTGGAAAGCAAAAATCTTTAAATCGGCCAGAATCGTGAATTCAGGATTTTGGAAAGTTAAAATCTTGAAATCGGCGTAAATCTTGAATTCAGGATTTTGGAAAGTTTAAATCATGAAATCGGGCAAAATCTTGAATTCAGGATTCTGGAAAGCTAAAATCTTGAAATCGGCGTAAATCTTGAATTCAGGATTTTGGAAAGTTCAAATCATGAAATCGGGCAAAATCTTGAATTCAGGATTCTGGAAAGCTAAAATCTTGAAATCGGCGTAAATCTTGAATTCAGGATTTTGGAAAGTTCAAATCATGAAATCGGGCAAAATCTTGAATTCGGGATTTTGGAAAGCTAAAATCTTATAATGGGCCAAATTCTTAAATTCAGGATTTTGGAACGCTAAAATCTTGAGATCGGCAAAATTTTGAATTTAGGATTTTGGAAAGCTAAAATATTGAAATCAGCCAATATCTTCAATTCAGGATTTTGGAAAGCTAAAATCTTATCATCCGCCAAAATCTTGAATTCAGGATTTTGGAAAGGTAAAATCTTGAGATCGGCAAAATCTTGAATGCAGGATTTTTGAAAGCTAAAATCTTGAAATCGGCATAATCTTGAATTCAGGATTTTGGAAAGCTAAAATCTTGAAATCGTCCGAAATCTTGTATTCAGGATGTTGGAAAGCTGAGATCTTGAAATCGGTCAAAATCTTGAATTCAGGATTTTGGAGAGCTAAAATCTTGAAATCTGCCAGAATCGTCAACTTAGGATTTTGGAAAGCTAAAATCTTAAAATCGGTCAAGATCTTGAATTCAGGATTTTAAAAAACTAAAATCTTGAAATCGGCGAAAATCCTAATTTCAGGATTTTGGAAAGCTAAAATCTTGAAATCGGCGAAAATGTTAAATTCAGGATTTTGGAAAGCTAAAATCTTGAAATCGGCCAGAATCTTAAATTCAGAATTTAGGAAAGCTAAAATTTTGAAATCGGTAGAGGTCTTGAAGTGAGGATTTTGGAAATCTAAAACCTTAAAATCGACCAAAATCTTGTATTCAGAATTTTGGGAAGCTAAAATCTTGACATCGGTCAAAATCTTGAATTCAGGATTGTGGAGAGTTAATATCTTGAAATCTGCCAGAATCTTGAATTTAGGATTTTGGAAAGCTAAAATCTTCAAATCGGTTAAAATCTTGCATTGAGGATTTTAAAAAACTAAAATCTTAAAATCGGTCAAAATCATGAATTCAAGATTTTGGAAAGCAAAAATCTTTAAATCGGACAGAATCTTGAATTCAGGATTTTGGAAAGTTAACTCTTAAAATTGGCCTAAATCTTCAATTCAGGATTTTAGAAAGCTGAAATCTTGAAATCGGCCAAAATCTTGAATTCAGGATTTTGGAAAGTTAAAATCTTGAATTCAGGATTCTGGAAAGCTAAAATCTTGAAATCGGCCAAAATCTTGAATTCAGTATTAGAAAGCTAAAATCTTCAAATCGGCCAAAATCATGAAATCGGCGACAATCTTGAATTCAGGATTTTGGAAAACTAAAATCTTGCAACCGGCCAAAATCTTGAATTCAGTAGTTTGGAAACCTAAAATCTTGAAATCGGCCAAAATCTTAAAATCAGGATTTTGGAAAGCTAAAATCTTAAAATCGGCCAGAATGTTGAATTCAGGATTTTTGAAAGCTAAAATCTTCAAATTGGAAAAAAAATTGAATTCAGGATTATGGAAAGCTAAAATCTTGAAATAAGCAAAATCTTGAATTGAGAATTTTGGAAAGCTAAAATCTTATAATCGGCCAAAATGTTGAATTCACGATTTTGGAAAGCTAAAATCTTGAAATCGCCCACAATTTTGAATGCAGGATTTTGAAAACCTTAAATCTTAAAATCGACAAAATCTTGAATTAAGGATGTTGGAAAGCTAAAATCTTATAATCGGCCAAAATCTTAAATTTAGGATTTTGGAAAGCTAAAATATTGAAATCGGCCAAAATCTTGAATTCGGGATTTTCTAAAGCTTAAATCTTGAAATCGTCCGAAATCTTGAATTCAGGATTTTGGAAAGCTAAAATCTTGAAATTGGACAAACTCTTGAATTCAGAATTTAGGAAAGCTAAAATCTTAAAATCGACTAAAATCTTGAATTCGGGTTTGGAAAGCTAAAATCTTGAAATCGGCCAGAATCGTGAATTCAGGATTTTGGAAAGGTAAAAGCTTGAAATCGTCCGAAATCTTGTATTCAGGATTTGGAAAGGCTAAAATCTTAAAACAAGCTAAAATCTAAAGATCAGCCAAAATGTTGAGTTCATGATTCTGGAAAGCTAAAATTCTGAAATCGGCCACAATCTTAAATTCAGGCTTTTGTAAAGCTAAAATCTTATTATTGGCCAAAATCTTAAATTCAGGATTTTGGTAAGCTAAAATCGTATAATCCGCAAAATCTTGAAATCGGTCAGAACAATGAACTTAGGATTGTTGAAAGCTAAAATCTTGAAATAGGTCAAGATCTTAAATTGAGGATTTTAAAAAACTAAAATCTTGAAATCGGCCAAACTCTTGAATTCAGAATTTAGGAAAACTAAAATCTTGAAATCGGCGAAAATCTTGAATTCAGGATTTTGCAAAGCTAAAATCTAGAAATCAGGCAGAATCGTGAATTCAGAATTATGAAAAGCCAAAACCTTGAAATCGTCCGAAATCTTCTATTCATGATTTTGGAAACCTAAGATCTTGAAATCGGTCAAAATCTTGAATTCAAGATTTTGGGGAGCTAAAATCTTGAAATCGGCCACAATCGTGAACTTAGGATTTCGAAAAGGTAAAATCTTGAAATCGGCCAAAATCTTGAATTGAGGATTTTAGAAAGCTAAAATCTAGAAAACGGTCAAGATCTTGAATTGAGGATTTTAAAAACTAAAATCTTGAAATCGGTGAAAATCTGGATTTCAGGATTTTGGAAAGCTAAAATCTTGAAAACGGCCAAAATCTTGAATTTAGGATTTTGGAAAGGTAAAATATTGAAATTGGTCAAGATCTGGAGTTGAGGATTTCCAAAAACTAAAATCTTGAAATGGGCGAAAATCTGGATTTCAGGAGTTTGGAAAGCTAAAATCTTGAAAACGGCCAAAATCTTGAATTTAGGATTTTGGAAACCTAAAATTTTGAAATCGGCCAAAATCTTGAATTCAGGATTTTGGAAAGCTAAAAGCTTGAAATCGGCCACAATTTTGAATTCGGGATTTTGGAAACCTAAAATCTTAAAATCGGCCAAAATCTTTAATTTAGTATTTTGGAAAGGAAAAATCTTCAAATTGGGAAAAGTCTTGAATTCAGGATTATGGAAAGCTAAAATCTTAAAATTGGTCAAAATCCTGAATTGAGAATTTTGGAAACCTAAAATCTTATAATCGGCCAAAATCTTGAAATCACGATTTTGGAAAGCTAAAATCTTAAAATCGGCCCAAATCTAGGACTCAGGATCTTGGAAAGCTAAAATCTTGAAATCGTCCGAATTCTTGTATTGAGGATTTTAAAAAGCTAAGATCTTGAAATCGGTCAAAATCTTGAATTCAGGATTTTGGAAAGCTAAATTCTTCAAATCGGCCACAATTGTAAAATTAGGATTTTGGAAAGCTTAAATCTTAAAATCGGTCAAGATCTTGATTGAGAATTTTAAGAAACTAACATCTTGAAATCGGCCAAAATCTTGAGTTCAACATTTTGGAAAGCTAAAATCTTGGAATCGTTAGAAACCTTGTATTTAGGATTTTGGAAAGCCAAGATCTTTGAAATAAGCTAAAATCTTGAAATCGGCCAGAATCATGAATTCAGGATTTTGGAAAGGTAACAGCTTGAAATCGTCCGAAATCTTGTATTCAGGATTTTGGAAAGCTAACATCTTTAAATCGGTCAAAATCTTGAAATCAGGATATTGAAAAGCTAAAATCTTGAAATCGGCCAGAATATTGAATTTAGGATTTTGGAAAGCTAAAATCTTGAAATAAGCAAAATCTTGAATTCAGGATTTTGGAAAGCTAAAATCTTATTATTGGCCAAAATCTTAAATTCAGGATTTTGAAAAGCTACAATCTTGAAATCGGCCAAAATCTTGAATTTATGAATTTGGAAAGCTAAAATCTTTAAATCGGCCTAAATCTTGAATTCAGGATTATGAAAAGCTAAAATCTTGAAATCGGCAAAATCTTGAATTCAGGAATTTGCAAAGCTAAAATCTGATAATCGGCCAAAATCTTGAATTCACGCTTTTGTAAAGCTAAAATCTTGATATCGGCAAAATCTTGAATTCAGGATTTTGAAAAGCTAAAACCTTGAGAGCTGCAAAATCTTGAATTCAGGTTTTTGAAAAGCTAAAATCCTGAAATCGGGAAAATCTTGAATTCAGGAATTTGGAAAGCTAAAATCTTATAATCGGCGAAAATCTTGAATTCAGGATTTTGGAAAGCTAAAATCTTGAGAGCCGCAAAATCTTGAATTCAGATTTTAAAAAGCTAAAATCTTGAATTGAGGATTTTGGAAAGCTAAAATCTAATAAGCGGCCAAAATCTTGAAATCAGGATTTTTGAAAGCTGAAATATTAAAATCGGCGAAAACCTTGAATTCGGGATTTTGGAAAGCTAAAATCTTGAAACCGGCCAGAATCGTGAACTTAGGATTTTGGAAAGCTAAAATCTTGAAATCGGTCAAAATCTTAAATTCAGGATTTTGGAAAGCTAAAATCTTAAAATCGGCCCAAATCTGGAATTCAGGATTTTGGAGAGCTTAAATCTTGATATCGGTCAAAATCTTGAATTCTGAATTTTGGAAAGCTAAAATCTTTAGACGGGCCAAAGTCTTGAATTCTGGATTTTGGAAAGCTAAAATCTTAAAATCGGCCAAAATCTTGAATTCAGGATTTTGGAAAGCTAACATCTTGAAATCAGCGAAAATCTTGAATTAAGGATTTTGGAAAGGTAAAAACTTGAAATCGGCCGAAATCTTGAATTCAGGATTTTGGAAACATTAACTCTTGATATCGGGCAAAAATTTGAACTCAGGATTTTGGAAAGCCAAAATCTTAAAATTGGCCAAAATCTTGAAATCGGCCAAAATCTTGAATTCAGGAATTTGGAAAGCTAAAATCTTGAAATCAGGCAAAATCTTTAATTCAGGATTCCGCAAAGCTAAAATCTTGAAATAGGCCAAAATCTTGAATTTAGTATTTTTGAAAGCAAAAATCTTGAAATCGGCAAAAATTTTGAATTCAGGATTTTGGAACGTTAACTCTTAAAATCGGCCTAAATCTTGAATTTGTCATTTTAGAAAGCTGAAATCTTGAAATAGGCCAAAACCTTGAATACAGGATTTTCGAAAGCTAAGATCTTGAAGTCGGCCAAAATCTTGAATTCATGATTCTGCAAAGCTAAAATCCTGTAATCGGCCAAAATCTTGAATTCATGATTCTGCAAAGCTAAAATCTTGTAATCGGGCAAAATCTTGAATTCTGGATTTTGGAAAGCCAAAATCTTGAAATCGGCCAAAATCTTGAATTCAAGATTTTTGAAAGCTAAAATCTCGAAATCGGCCAAAATCTTGAATTCAGCATTTTAGAAAGCTAAAATCTTGAAATGGACAAAAATCTTGAATTCAGGATTTTGGAAAGCAAAAATCTTGAAATCGGCCAAAATCTTGAATTCAGGATTTTGGAAAGCGAAAATCTTCAAATTGACCGAAACCTTGAATTCAGGATGTTGCAAAACTAAAAGGTTGGAATCGGCCAAAATCTTGAATTCATGATTTTGGAATGGTAAAATCTTGAAATCGGCCAAAATCTTGAATTCAGGATTTTAGAAAGCTAAAATCTTGAAATCGGCCAAAATCTTGAATTTAGTATTTTTGAAAGCTAAAATCTTGAAATCGGCGAGAATTTTTAATTCAGGGTTTTGGAACGTTAACTCTTAAAATCGGCCTAAATCTTGAATTAAGCATTTTAGAAAGCTGAAATCTTGAAATAGGCCAAAACCTTGAATTCAGGATTTTCGAAAGCTAAGATCTTGAAGTCGGCTAAAATCTTGAATTCAGGATTCTGCAAAGCTAAAATCTTGTAATCGGGCAAAATCTTGAATTCAGGATTTTGGAAAGCCAAGATCTACAAATTGACCAAAACCGTGAATTCAGGATGTTCCAAAACTAAAAGGTTGAAATCGGCCAAAATCTTGAATTCAGGATTTTGGAATGCTAAAATCTTGAAATCGGCCAAAATCTTGAATTCAGGATTTTGGAAAGCTTAAATCTTGATATCGGTCGAAATCTTGAAATGGGCCAAAATCTTCAATTCAAGATTTTGCAAAGCTAAAATCTTGAAATCGGCCAAAATGTTACATTAACGATTTTGAAAAGTTAAAATCTTGAAATCGGCCAAAATCTTGAATTTAGTATTTTGGAAGCTAAAATCTTGAAATGAGCGAAAATCTTAAATTCAGAATTTTGGAAAACTAAAATCTTGAAATCGGCAAAAATCTTGAATTCAGGATGTTGCAAAACTAAAATGTTGAAATCGGCCAAAATCTGGAATTCAGGATTTTGGAAAGTTAATTATTGAAATCGGCCTAAGTCTTGAATTTAGGATTTTAGAAAGGTAAAATCTTGAAATCGGTAAAGATCTTCAATTCAGGATTTTGGAAAGCTAAAATCTTGAAATCAGGATTTTCGAAAGCAAAAATCGTAAAATCGAAAAAATCTTAAGTTCAGGATTTTGGAAAGCTAAAATTTTGAAATCGGTCAAAATCTGGAATTGTCAATTTTTGAAAGCTAAAATCTTGAAATCGGCCAAAATCTTGAATTCAGGATTTTGGAAAGCTATAATCTTGAAATCGGGAAAAATGTTGAATTCAGGATTTTGCAGAGCTAAAATCCTTAAAGTCGGCCGAAATCACGATTTTGGAAAGCTAAAATCCTTAAAAGCAAGGAAAACCTTGAATTAAGGATTTTGGAAAGGTAAAATCTTGAAATCGCCAGTTTCAAGCAAAACGAAAGTTGCGCAGAGTGTTTTGACGCCAATTTCAATCAACTAAACAGTTGGACACGATGTTTTGGACAAGCTTTAGCTTTTTAGCAAAAGTGCCCAATTTCAAGCAAAACGTTAACTGCCCAGAGTGTTTTGACGCCAATTTTCAGCAACAGGACAGTTGCGCAGGGTGTTTTGAACAAGGTTTAGCTTTTTAACAAAAGTCACCAATTTCAAGAAAAACAACAGTTGCGCAGACTTTTTTGACGCCAATTTCGAGCAATAAGACAGTTGCGCACTTTGTTAACAATCTAAAACTTGTCCAGAACACCGTGCGCAACTTTCCTGTTGCTCGAAATTGGCGTCAAAACACTCGGTGCAATTGTAGTTTTTCTAGAAGTTTGCGACTATTGTTAAAAAGCTAAGACTTGTCCAAAACACCGTGCGCAACTGTCGTGTTGCTTGAAATTGGGGTCTAAACACTCTCCGCAACTAACGTTTTGCTTGAAATTGGCGACTTTTGTTAAAAAGCTAAAATTTGTCCAAAACACCGTGCGCAAC